TTTTTGAGATGGAGTCTCGCTCTGTAGCCTAGGCTACACTGCAGCTCACTGCAACCTCTGCTTCCCATGTCCCCGGTTCGAGCAATTCTCTTGCCTCAGCCTCCTGAGTATCTGGAATTACAGGAATGTGCCCATGCCCAGCTAATTTTTGTATTTTTAGTAGAGATGGGGTTTCACCATGTTGGCCAAGCTGGTCTTGAACTCCTGACCTCAGGATCTGCCCCCCTTCGGCCTCCCAAAGTGCTGGGATTGTAGGCGTGAGCCAGCATGCCTAGCCATCTTGTGATTTTTTTTTCTGTGTGTAGTTTTTGTTGGTATTGATGTTCAGTATCCTTAATTCATTAAGGTTTTCACAGTGATAATTAAGTCAGTTCAAGTCTTCTGGGAAGCAGACAGCAAGATAGAATTAGGAATGCAAGAGATTTAATGAAGGAAAAACCTGTAAAGCATTAAGAGTAGAATGAGTAGGGATAGAAAAGAGGAGTCTTCAGATTTCACCACAGCGTGACACCTGTGAGAGGAGACATAAAGAAGGAAGGAAGATTGACTAGGAAGAACCTCAGCCTTCAGACTGTCATGCAATCTGAGATAGTGTCCGTTTTGCTAGTGTGGAACCCCAGAGCAAATACTGCCTTTTGAGGATGCCATTTGGATCAGAAATAGCTCAGTTCTAGTGTTTCTACTGTCATTGGCATTGGCATGAACACTGCAGTAGATCCCGAAGGTTTGCAACTGGAAGCTGTTAGATGATTATACTCTGCAGCAAGTTCCCTCTCTCTTTTGTGGCCATATTGCTTTATTTTTCACAGTTTAAGTCTACTATTCATCAGGAAGTAATATGCACATGTAGTGTAAAGCAAGGGTCACAGTTCATATTTTCGTATTGACTGTTGGCCCAGTACCATCTATTGGGAAGAGCATTCTTTTCTTCTCTGAATTGCAGTGATGCCATTGTTGTAAGTCAAGTGATTATAGAGATGTGACCTTCCCTCATCATATCTTCTTTGGTAATTCCTATCCTGAATTTTATATTTATAATTCTTTGATTTTTCTATATCACGGGTTGGCAGACTTTTTCTATAAATTGAACAGCTAGTAAATATTTTAGTCTTTGCAAGCCATAACATCTGTCTCAACTACTCAACTGTGCCACAGTAGCATTAAAAGAGCCATAAACAATATGCAAATGAATGAGCAAAGCTGTTTTTTAATAAACCCTTGTTTACAAAAACAGGCAGTGGGCAGATTCATCTTGCAGCCATGGTTTACCAAGCCCTGTCCTATATAGTGCAAATACATTTTTTAAAAACAGGGTTTAATTTCATATGTATTTGGAACTTTATAGAAATGAGCTCATATCCATTTGTATTGTATGATTTTCTTTTTTATTCCATATTATGTTTATGAGATTTCTTTTTTACCTCTGTGGCTCTTCCAACATTACATGAGATTTCTTTATAGTTTATGTAGTTATATTTTATTTCTTTTCACTGATGTCTCAGGGTTTAGTCAGTTATTTTAACAGAATATTTAAAAGAAAAAATTGTTGAATAGTGCTAGAGAACCAAAAAGGCAAAAAAGGAACAGTAAGGTATCATGAAAGTAGTAACTGTACAAAACAACCACAACCTCTAGAACTGGATGAGAGGGCAGAATAAGTTGGAATTATTAAAACTTAGAAGCTTAAAGGAGAGGCCCCTTAAAGCTACAACTTGGACCTCTGGTGATGGGACACCAGCCTGGCTGCTACTGCCATTCCTGAGGAGGCCTGATAAAGGGCGGGTCTGTAAGGGCTGGCAAAAAATTGCAAACTGGAATCATCAGTACTTGCCAGGGTGAGGAACTCAGGGATGACACTGTCAGTAACAGCAAGGAAATATCCTTTCTTTTTTCTTCCTGGGCTTCATCTGGTTCTTTGTGTTGGCAGAGTTCAACAGAGAGCCAGGTGGCAAAGTAGAAATGGTGTTTCCAGAGTCTGAGCCTTAGCATCTCAAAGCAGAGGATGGAAGGGTAGTTTTGAGGGGGAAAGTTAGTAGCATAACTCCTAGTACATGTAGAATTTCATTGTATAAATATGCCAGACATTAAGTTTTACTATGCTCTACTTAATAGACATTTGTGTTTCAGATTTTTGCTGTTGTAAACACAATGCTGCAAAAATTTTTTTTGGCCTATGTGCAAAGATTTCTCTTTTGTTCTTTTTATTGACTGCATCACTAACGAAATGTCTTTTCATGGATTATCAGCAGTTTCTATCATTGCCAAATCCAGTACCTTCTTCCCCCAGTCTATTTATCTTTTTTAATCATTAGCACTATTGACCCCACTCTGTTCTTGAAACTTTTTTCTTCTTTTCTACTATAATGTTATATGCTTCTCATTCTCCTCTTGTCCTTTCAAATGCCACTTTAAATTAAATTAAAATCAAATTAATTAAATTGAAATGAAAATCAAATGCCAGTTTTCTTGGACTTCTAGATGATTTTTAAAATACTAATATTTTTTCTTAATTTTAAATATTATAGTTATTAAAGAAAAATTTTAAACATAGACAAGTAAAAAGGATAATAAGAAAACTCAACATTATTCATAATACCATGCAACTGACTTTTAAATCTTTATGATTTTCTCTAGCTTGAAAGCTAGACCTACCTTTCCAGCTTCTGCCTAAACATTTCTACTTGAATGGTTTGCTGACATCTTACATTGAGCATTTCTAAAACCAAATTTATTTTATTATCACCTTCTTTTCTCTATTTTTTTTTTTTTTCCTACTCTCTTTCCCATCTTTGGCTGTTACTATTTCCAGGATTCACTTTAGGAGCTTTCAGTTATTCTTGGCTACCTGAAATAATTGGACTAACAACTTTGGTGGTTGCACAAATGCCAAGGATTATAGTTCCTTTCTGTTACATATTACCTCCAGTTCCTTTGTGACTCCCTGAGCTTATGTCTTTAAGGACCCCTCTTAACGATGCTGAGGTACTGGGGAAAACTTTCTGTAGCACAGAAGATTAGTATGGTGTTTAAAGAGCACAGACTCTGGAAACTGTGTTTGAGTCTTGATTCTGCTATTTAATTGCTATTGACTCAAACTGCGTTTAAGTCTTGATTCTGCTATTTAATCCTTGATATGTACCCTTAAAGTAGAAAAGGAATAGTAACTATTAATACTTAATAGTATTGTTATGAAAATGAAATGGAATAATAAGTAAAAATACTCACAGTATTCCTGGCATGGAATGAGCACCAGATGTAAATGTTAGCTATTGCTGTTATTACTCTTTGGTTTAGTACTCTCTGGAATGAACATTTTAGGGTATTTTGAATGCTTAGTACCTGGTGCCTCTGTTGCTAACCTTAGTATACCCTTAAGCAGCATGGGGTATAAGAGCAGTACTCAGTATCTTCTGTTGAGTATTTGTTTCTGTGACATTCACAAAGGGAAACTTGTTTTCCTAATATACCCTAGTATTTAAGTGGGGACATTTTCTGCTTTTAGTTTCTTTCTGTGTGCTTCTCTATGTAAATCTCATGAAGTGTTCTAGTGGACAGTCAGTTCCTTAGCCTGTTTTTAGTTCATAGTAGGTTTAAATTGAAACAGGTAGATAATGTTCCACCAGATAAAAGATACCTAAGAAATTTTACCTTGTACCTAGGTTTCTTGAAAAGACTTTAAAAATTGTTTTTAGAAAAAGTGTAAGTCAATTTTTTTTTTTTTTTTAGAATTCCTGCAGGGGAGAAATAAAGAGTGCATCACTGAAGGATTTATGTCTTGAAGACAAAAGACGCATTGCAAACTTAATTAAAGAACTGGCCAGGTGAGACAAAACCTTATATGAAATGCATTATTATACAAAAGACAACTCTTATTAGAAACAGAAAATTGCAAATATATTTTGATGACTTAATATCTTTGATCTTATGGTAGCAAAGAGTTTTAGAAAAAAGATGTTCTGTTATGCCAAAATCCTCCCCAAAAGGTTTAAAAAGAAGCATCAAAAGCAAACTACTTTCCAATTTATATTTTCTTATTTACTTAACTTTCCAAATTGTTTGATGCAAATACTTGTAGCAGTCATCGATGGAGGGAAGTTTTGGAAACTACTGTTGAAGTAGGTTGATCTTGTTGTAATCAGAGGCATAGCAGTTACCTTTGATTTTTCTTCAGCATCTGAAGAGAAAATACTTCATTCACAAGAATATCCATTGTTGCCTTGCTAGCTCCTAATGCTTTTCAACTAATGGATTTTGAATTTTGATAATGACACTTCTTAGCTGTTTGTGAATACTATTCCAGTTTATTAATGATGTGTATGAGGCACGTCTACTTTGTATGTGTAATTTCTTTGTCAAATATACATGTCCAGTTTTGAGGGTCTTAAAAAGTACTTAATAAATGAAGATATGTCTAGAGAAATGTATGAATATAAATTGTAAAAGTTAAATTTATGGAGAGACTATACTTAAAAGTTGATAAAACAGTACTACTTTTTGTCATTGAATTACAAATGAAGATAACAATATTAGGTATGTTTTGAACATATTTCATCTTGAAGCCTTAACATAATGTTTATAGAGGCTTTTAAAAAGTCTGAAGTTAAAAAATTACTTTATTCCAAATCATAGAATCATGAGTATTAAAGATGACTATAAAAAAGTGATGTTGTTGGGAGCCAGAATATAGGGTGTGAGAATTCAAAGTACATGCCTTAGTCTGAATTTGATAATGCTACCTGAGATAAGTAGTGATCTCTTTCATTAGAATTCTTTGGCTGTTCTAGTTTATAAAGTAGACTTTTTATTAACTTCAGTGTTCATTGTTATCCTCAATATTTGAAGATGATGTTCTTATGAGACTTTACCACATAGTAAGTAAGTCCTTTGATGAGGATTTACCAAATATGTTTGATGGTATCGAAAAGCTATTGCTGTTTGTTTGTCTCTGTTTGTTAATGGTCCTAAGTTGCCATTATTGTCCTGACTCACCCATTTTATTTGAACCATCAAGCTTTGAGAATACCAGAAATACTAGAGCATGTCGTTTTGGTTTTAATAACCCTCTACTTCCTACAAAATATGCTAGGTTTTCTTTTTTTTTTAATTTCTTTGTAGAAGGTCAGTGTGTCAGTACAAGGTCAATATTAGTAAAAATCTGCTTATACTGCTAAAGAATCCCATTATAACTATATTTACTATTAACATGCAAGTATATAGGAATAATGTGTTCTTGATATCTTAAAAATTTGTTGAGTTTTCTCTATTAGATATTTAAGTCTACTTATACTTTGAAAACTGTCTTCTTTGCTTTCTTTTTTTTTTTTTTGAGATGGAGTCTTAACTCTGTCACCGAGGCTGGAGTGCAGTGGTAGAATCTCACTCACTGTACCCTCTGCACCCCGTCCCCCCAGGTTCCAGTTATTCTCTTGCCTCAGCTTTACCTGGGTAGCTGGAATTACGGGCATATACCACCATGCCCGGCTAATTTTTGTATTTTTAGGAGAGATGGGGTTTTGCCATGTTGGCCAGGATGGTCTCAAACTCCTGACCTCAGGTGATTGCCTGTAACCAGGTGTCCCAGGTTCTTGATCTCCACTACCCCAGGAATGGGGAAGAGGCCCTGGAGATGCCATGGGCTTACCGTTGGTATAAATATCAAGGACCCAAAGAGTTTTGCAGAGAACAATTTATTAGGCAGAGAGAGAGACAGAAGTAGAGAGAACTTCCACGCTGTTGTGGGAGGGGATCCCAGAGAGGGAAATCTGCACAGGTGGAGAGGGAAAGACAGCTCCCACATTGGAGGGCATCCGGAGAATGAGTCTGCACAGGTAAGAGGCAGTGGGGATTTGACTCTGAAGTTATTCCCACCTCATTCATGTTCTTTTCCAATGAGAGGAGTTTTTTTTAAACTTCCTCTGGAGTGATTGATCTTTGACTCTGATCCCAGATTGGTTGCTTGGGCCAAGAGCCACTCCTTCTAGGGCTCTTGGTGGGCTTTCTGAACAAAGGAAGCTCACATGGAATTTTACCTAGCCTGCTCGGGAAAGTTAGACAAAGAACTCGAGGTTCCCGGATGGGGAGGTGGATGGAGGCATGACGCTGGGAAGTTCTTGCCTTTGAAACCATGTCCTTTGTGGACCCAAGAAGAGAAGCTAACATAGTCCCTCACGCCCACCTCAGCCTCCCAAAGCGCTGGGATTACAGACATGAGCCACCGTGCCTGGCCTTCTTTGTTTTTTTGTTTTTTATTTGCAAGACTGTTGGATTGAAGTGGGAATGTAGAGAATAGAATCTCATATACATCAAGCACTGGCAACAAAACATTTCCCAGTTTTTATGTTATTTTCCCTTTGAATTTTCAATCTGGTTTGTAATAGTTAAATATACTTATTTCTCTTTATCTTAAAAATGCTCCTTTCACTATATATTTCCCCCTAGTCACTGCCTTCTTTGTATTATGAGACATAACCTTTTTTCTAGAAAGAATAGTCTGTTATTTTCTACTCTGTTGCATTTTTTTTATCAAGCATACTTGCTTGCTTATCAATCTGCTTATTTGTAAATATGTCAAAGTGTAATTTGCATACAATAAATATGAACCAATTTTAAGTGTATATTTCAATGAGTTTTGACAGATGTAAGATATACAAGATTTCCTATTCATGATATTCAGCATTTATGTTATTCCAAATAGTTGCCTCTATACCTTTTACATTCTATTTCCCCCATCCCAGGCAACCATTAATATAGTTTCTATTATTATAGTTTAGTTTTACATGTTCTGGCACACCATATAAAGGCCACACAGTATATGCTCTTTTACTGTCTTTCTTCCCTCTGCCCAATGGTTTGGGTAGGGGGCAGTAAAATACACCTAACACAAAATGTACCATCATAACCATTTTTAAGTGTACAATTCAGTGGCGTTAAGTACCTTCACAGTGCTGTGCAAACAACTCTACCATCCATTTCTAGAACTATTTTATCATCACAAACTGAAACTGTATCCATTCAATAATACCTCCTCATTCTCCTTTCCCCCTTGCCCCTGTTAACCACTGTTCTGTGTGTCTCTATATAAATTTGACGAATTTAAGTAACTCATGTAAGTGAAATCATACAATGTTTGACCTCTGTGTCTGGCATATTGTTTTTAGTTGTTTTCAAGTTGTTGTGTATGAGTGCTCATTTTTTTTTAATGTTGAATAGTATTTCATTATATGGCTGTACCTTGTTTCTTTATTCTATTAATGGTCATTTGGGTTCTTTAGGTTTTTGCCTTTTGTGAATGAAGCTTTCATAAACATTCATGTACAAGTCTTCCTATGAACATAATTATTTTTCTTCAGTAAATGCTCAGTTGTATGTTGTGTGTTTATAACTTCATAAGAAACTTCCAAACTGCTTCCCAGCATGACTGTACTATTTCACATTTCCACTAACAACTTATGTGAGTTCATTATTCTGTATACTCACGAACTCTTGGTATTGTCATTTCTTTAAATTTTAGCCATTCCAATGAGTGTAGTGGTTTCTCCTTTTGAAGAATTAATTTGTGTTTCCCCAATGACTAATGTGTTTATTGGTATGATAATCTCATTATAATAATATGACTAATGAGTCATTCTTCCTTTGTCAAGTGTCTGTCAGTTCTTTTTCCTTTTTCTCACCCATCACATTCTCTTCTTAATATTGAGGTGTTAAGAGTTCTTCATATGTTCTGTACATGAGTTGTCAAATATGTGTTTATTCTCAGCCTGCAGCTTCCTTTATAATTATTTTAATGTTTTCTCTTGATAAAATTTTTTATCTTAACAAAGTTCAGTTTATCAATTTTTTCCTTTTGTGGTCCATGCTTTTAGAGCTCTATCTATGAAGTCCTACCCATCACAAATTACAAAGATTTTTTTTCTATGTTAGAAAAGACTTCCTACAGAATTACATTAGCCTCCTTGTCAAACTCAGTTGACCATATATGCATGATCTATTTCTGGACTCTTTGTTTCATTCATTGATGTGTATGTCTATCCCTGTGCCAACACTGTACTGACTTGATTACTTTAATTTTATATTGTCTTAAAATCAGGTAAATTCTATAGCTTTGTTCTTATTTTTGAAAATTGTTTTGACTCTTTGAGATCCTTTGCATTTCACTATATTTTTAGAATCAGCTTGTCAGTTTCTAAAAGAAAATTGTTTTCTGTAGTTTTGGTTGAATTGTATTGGACTTAAAGATCAATTTGAAGAAAACTAACATTATTGAGTCTTCCAATTTACAAAAAGTTATCTATTATTTATTTAAATGTTCTTTAATTTGTCTAGGCAGTGATATGTAATTTTCAGGTCATAGGTTTTGTTATATGTATCCTAAAGTTATATGTGTCCTAAAGTAAATGATGTTATTTAAAATTTTATTATACATTCGATATTTATTTTTTGATTGCTCATTTGAAAAAACAATAGAATTTTTTTTACATATATTGGCTTGGTATCTTTTAACCTTTTAAAATTTTCTTGTTATAGTCATTTTTTGGTAGAATCCTTTGGATTTTGCACATAAAAGATGTCATGTACAAATAAAAACAGTTTTGCTCTTTTCCTTTCCAATCGATAGATGCTTTATTTTTCTTGCCCTTTTGCATCAGGTAGGACCTCCAGTACAATGCTGAATGAAAGTGGTGAGTGGACATCCTTGCAATTTCTTCTTGATCTTAAATCTTTCACCATTGTGTGCAATGTAAGCTGTAGATTTTTTAGTAGATGTTCTTTATCAAATTGAGCAAATTTATTTTTGTTTCTAGTTTATTGAGAGTTTTTATCT